TATTATTCATAAGGAACCATAATTGATAATCAGGAAGAATAATTTATTATTGTGGATCCCAGAGATCTGGGTAGACATGCATTATTAAAAGTTTCATTTATGCATGGCCTTGGTATTGTTACTACCTGTGTGATGCAATTGTTTGTTATGTCAATGATGATATCAAATGTATTGAATAATAATCATGATCATCATGAATATTTGTTGGATGGGGGCGTTCACATACAAGGAAATGATTAAATAGCTAAGTCATGTTTGTTTTGAGGTTTCGCCATTTCAGCATAGTTTCAACAGGATTTTTGATAAGATTTAATATAGTTTTGCCGTGGCTTCAGCAATTACTAAGGAGGTTTCGCCCACAACCTTAAGTTTGGTAGAATAAAAAATTTTGTTTATTTTAAGAAGAGCTATTTAATTTCAACAATTGAATTCATTATTGTTTTTTGTTATTTATTTATTTTATCATATATGCTACTAAGATAACTTTTTGGTGGTGGCGAAGCATCTTTCTTTTTCATTGATTTGTTTATTTTTAAGAATTAAACTTATTATTTGGTTACTTTTTTTTAATTAATTGACAATTTGATTGATTATTTATTTATTACTAAAAATACTTTGATCACATCTACAGTATATATTCATTCTGCAAAGCTGGATTGCAAGCTTCGTAAATCTCGACTTTAACACTTACTTTGATCAAATTCACCCAAATAATTATTAAATAATTGATAAAACGTTCATTTGCAAAACTTAATTTGCAAACTCCTAAGATCTTGTATTTGATCGCGCCTATACAAACTATTGAATAATTGACAAACGTTCATCAGTATATTTTATAAACTTCTTTGGAAGCTTCGTACGTCGTCATACACCTTGTATTTAGCATTTACCTCCACAAACTCGCAACTTATCATCAACTCTACTTTTTCTATTAAATTATTTTGAATTTTTATTTTTTTTTAATTACACTATAGAATTTGTCCAATGAAATGTTGTAATCTGTATATATCCCATGCACAACTTGAAAAAGGTTGGTATATAAGACTCATTTTCCATTATTAGCAGGTATGGCAAACCCGTATGACTCACTTAAATGTGTTATTAAAGTCCACCAAGTGAGAGAATGGAATTCTTGCTGATGGCTTATGCTGGGTGTATTGACCCTTTGTGCCATGTCTTCTCTCTTTTGTTAATTTTTATTTAAACATTTAAAATTCGTTAATTGATTTGATGGTTACATTTGTAATAGTGTTGGTTTCCAAAACTAGAGAGTTTCGCAACCGTGCGAAAGTCAAAAGGTTTCGCCATAAGTCGAAACTAGTTTTATTTTTAACTATTGACTTTTGACATATAACTTTTAATTTTAGTTTTGACTTTCGTCTCTTCAAAATAGTTTTGACGACCAACGCTAATTTGTAATATATGAAGATCCATCAATTGATCCATCTGAAGCAAAAGAGAAATAAGTTTTTTCAAAGGTATATATTGAATATTAGAATTAATTCTATTACAAACCTTCTTGGGCAAATTGATTTTTTCTTTTATGTTGAATACAAATTGTACAAAACATTTGTTTATGAATGTGGTCATAATGAAGCCATTTATATTCAGATAACCATTTTTGTTGAAACTATTGATTTTTAATTTTTTTATTCAATTGATTTAATTGATTTTCATTTTCATAATTCAATTCACCAAGTTCATCATCAAAAATACTACATGAGATTTTTTCTAATATGAACGATTTTGTTTTTAATTACAATAATGTTAATTTGATTCGGATGATAACTTTGAACAAGCAAATCTTAATGATATAGTGTTGGAATTTAATAATTCAACACCACTGAGACTAGGTAACTAATTAATATATATTAATAATTAATTTATAGTAATAATGACTTTTGATCGTGTTTAAGATGAGAATACTATTTGAGCCAGATATCAAATTCCTAACGACAACGGATATCCAAATATTTGGATATTCGAAACTCGATGGATATCTGGCCAACATCACTAGTATAAAAAAATGACTGACTTGTCGAGTTGACGTGTGTATATCGGTCATCATTTTAATTTCATTAATACACACACTCACTATCAATTATTAACTATCGAAATAGAAATAACGGGATTGATTATTTTAAAATTAGGTTGTAACATTTAATATTTAATATTTAAAAACGTTTATTTTCAAATATTGAAGTCATTTTTATTAGATGAATACGATTACTGGATTTATTCAGTATCATTAACTCAATAGTATAATATTTGAACTCATTCGATATTTTCGATATTTCATGTAATAGATTTGATGGAAAGCTATCTATACCTAAAATGGATTCGATATGGAAACGGATTTGGTATCTAAAGATCTGGGGTTTTAAAACAATTAATTGACGTGTTAAATCTTTTATTTGGAGGTTTGATTTTTAATTAGAAATTTTCAAGGTTACTCTGAATTTTGTATCCAAACGCACTACCCAAAAATTTTAAAAATATATAAAATAACATTTTCCTTAAGAAGAAAATGAAAGATTGCTTTTAGAGTTGGCTGTCGTATAAAAAACTGCCAATGTGTTGGGTTTGATCCTGGCAATGATGGCAGGAATTGTTTAGCGTGCAACCCAGCATTTTATAAAACTGAAGGTAACTTATATTGAGGGAATGTTTGCGTGAATTAATCCATCTATGGGTTCGATGAGAATGTTACACGCTAAAATTCGTTGTTCTCAAACTGCAGTCATGCCGATAATCTTTTCTTTATTTGGAAATAATGGACTTTTTCACAAATATTTAAAGGTTCGATTAATACATTTATTTCATTACCTTTAGAATATTTACTATTGGTTTCAAAAATTCAAAATGCAAAATCATCTCGAAATAACAGAAAATAGTAGTAAGTAAAATCTTTTTGAAAAGTAATTTCTTGTCTTCAATAATATAAATTAACGTGTTTAATCGGGGTTTTTACAAAAACAGGAAACTCAACCAGTTTGTCAGTCTCGCCTGTGCCAACTGTTTCTTCCAACGTGTCTAATGATGGTTCATCTAACGAATACAATGATTCATCTACTTCTTCCCAAACAACAGATGATCATAACGTTCATAGTACCACTAATGAAGGGTTTATTAATTCTGGCACATTTGATTACTTCATCGAAACAAATAATCAATCGGCATCCTCTGCCGAAGAAAATGCTGATTCAGAAAACTTTAACAATAATATGGATACAAGCCTCTTCGACAAAAGCAAGACAACGTGCGATAATTTAGAATCTAAGAATTCGGATGAATCGTCTGGTCTTTTTATCAAGAAAAGTTCTGCTTCAAAAAACCTTAGTTTTGATAAAGATGAGACAAATTTTGATCATGAAAAAAATACAAATTCGTCCACATCAAAAATTCCTGATGCAGAAAGTTTGATAGCTGTGACCAATCCCATTAAATCATTCACATCAGATGGTCATAAAAAGAACAAGGAAAAAATTTCGGAGATATTTACAAAACGTGAAAATTTATATGCTAGTTTGAATAAGGATATTAAAAAGGAACAAGATCTTTTAGATTATATTCCAGGATTGTATCTATTGTTGAGTCTAGAAAAAGATGAAGGATCAAATGGTCTTGGTATGTGTCTTTAATTATTCGTAGGAATCGACAATGTGGCTTGTCAAAATCATGTGATATATTGATCAACATAACTTTTTTTTTTTAGTTAACAAAACAATCATATCAAAGGAATCGTTAGAAAAGCTTTGTAATGAATTGGTTCCCAAAAGCTTTAAATCTGTTTCAAATATTAATTATTCGAAATTGAATAGAGTCTCATTCAATCTTGTTGGCTGCTATGGGAACTATGAATTGATTGCAAGGCTGTTATTAACCAAAAAAATTATTAACCAAAGAGTGTAAGTTGAATTCAATTCATTTTCATCTGTAATTTTTTTATTGTTCATGATTAACATCTTTGTCTAATTTAGATATGATCTGCTTGTATCTTCAAATAAATCTGAGAATCCTTCTCTTCGTTCAGGAATATATTTGTTGATTGTGAATGTTAATTTTGGTTTAGTAATTCATTGGCCTGAGCATGGTTGTTATGAAGATAATGCATCTGAACAACTTAAAAAAAATATGATTAATTTCCACAGGTAATAAAAAATTTTTTATACCTGTTTATATACTCTATAATAGTGTCTTAAAAAAATTAAAATATTATAGGTATCTCACAAAACTGACTGATTATCAGATATGTTTAATGAGCAACAGCGATTTAACCTGTTTTGAATGGGAAACTAGGAAAGATGGGAATGGTTTCTATGATAATGATATAGACAATGAAAAGGATGAGACATGTTATGAATTTGAAGTCAAAGAAAGTCAAGAAGAAAAAGAGGATTTCCAGTTGCACAAGGGCTTTAAGGTTAGAAAGTTACTTCATATTTATGAATTTATTTATTAGATTAACTTATCAATAAACATATTAGGTCCAACTACCAAATTACATTCAACCAGACCTTAAGATCATTCATCATAATGGAACCTCTATGCAACCTACTGGTATTATCATTATTCTGTTTGAATTCTTTAAAATATCTTCAATTCCATTAGCTTATGTTTTTTACTTAAATAGTTGTTGAATCTGTGTCGCATCAAGCATTCATCACTCAAAATATTATCAAATCATCTTCAGTAATGAAAAGATGTTCAGCAATTTATTCAAAAAGTCACCATCCATTTAAAGAATATATTAAAGGATATTCCCTCAAGGTTGAAAAAAATTCCATGGACATGACATTATTAAAAAAGTTTATTGAATTTTGCCTAGATGATGAGAAGGAGCTATTGACATCTTATGAAGATTCTGTAAAAGCTGAAAAAGAAACAACTAGTAAGAAAAAAGAAAATATAAAAGATGAAATTGAAAGAGATGCAGAAATTATCACAAACATGGCATGGATGAAATTAAAAGAAACTTACAGGTATAAATCTTGCTTAAAATATATTTTTTTTAATTGTTAGATGACCTTTAACTTTTATTGATATATAGCAAATTTGAAGAAACTATTAAAGATGATAATACAGTACACAAATTTGAAGAATCAAGTAATTATAAATTGTTTGAATTATTATTGTTACTTAGATCTTATTTAACAAATGATATATTCTTTTTGATATTTATTAATTCTAAATAGAAATCAATGAAATCAATGAGAAATATCCTTATATAAATAAAAAAATAGAGGAATCTATTCTAATAAGATCAAACCCCTGGAAATCTTTGAAAGAGAAATTTCAATTTTGTTCATTTATGACTATTGAAATGTTTATTAAATGGAAAACAAATAACACTAATTCAAAAGACAACCCTGACTCAAATAAAGTGGAAAGCTGTTTTTCTGAATTTTTTTGCAATACATTTGCTGATAAAGAAGAAACAGATCTTACTAAATTAGTAAATAAACATGCAGAAAAATCTTTAGCATCTATTACTACTGGACCAAATTCTGAATCTCATGTCATTGAACCTCATGTTATTGAACCTAATATTCGAAAAGCTAAACAAATAGCAAAGCATGTACCTGACTCTAAATTTGTTAATGAACTTTATGATTTTAAATCAATTAGTATTTCTAATTTTGAAATATTTAATATTTCACAAGAAAAGAAAAATGTAATCATTGATTCTTTTCTTGAAAACTTTAAAAAATGGAGGAAAGGCTTTTCCGAGAATGTCAAAAATATAATACCAAAATATACAAATGTTAAAACATATTATGAAGAAAAATTAAGCAAGGAATTATCACAAAAAATTAAAGCAATAGAAAAACAAGAATTCACAAGGGTTTGCCTATTACTTGAAGAAAAATTCCCAGATGGGTAATTAAATTACTTTTAAATGATTTTTATGCTATAAAATTTTTATTATTAATATCTTTATTTTTAAATTACAGACCAATTTTTAAAATTATAGAAGCTGAAGGTAATTCTAATTAAGTAGTTAATCTTTTTGTTGTGATTATAACTCATTAACAAAAATTTACCTTTAATTAGAAACAACATATTATAGGGATTTAAAACTTACTTATGAAATTGAATCATTAAAACCTGATCAACTAAAGATTACATTATATGAAACAGGCCTAGATGGATCTGAAAAATTAAATCTTCAAGGAAATGAGTTATATGTTCCAAAACCTCATCTTGACAGCAATAAGAATTCACATGCTTCCTTCAAAATAGATCCAGAAATATATGAACTCAGGTAATCAATTATCCAAAAATTTTGATAAAAATTACAGAATTAAACTAATAAAGCAATTTTTTTAGAAAAATATCCCAGTTTGAAAATGGAAAGCTCCTAATAATACTTCGGAATAAAAAATCAAATCAAATAGAAATTTTTTTCGAAAATTCTAATCATTTAAAATCAACTTTTCAATTATCAAATTTAAAACCATTAAAAACTTTAAATCCTGATGGTGATTGTCTTTTTGCTATAAATGAGCCCAAAGGCTTAATTGGGATTTATGTTGCTGAAAGAGGAGTGGTAAATTGATTTTTTTTGTATTTATCCATTATAATGATTAAATTGTAAGTAATATATATAACTTGTTATTATTTATTACAAAATTTAGCTAAATGTTTATGCATTTGATGAAAATCAAGCCAGTCTTTATAGTCGCAACCCCAATATTCAAATTCTACAATATTATAATAATTCAGCACCAGTTATTAAATATTTTTTCTTTATAAAAACTACTGAAGAATTATGTTTTGTGGAAACAAATGGTAGAGCAAAAATTTATAATCTTATAACTGGTCAATTTCGTCCTGCAACATTACCAGATTCTACAAATATTTCAAGCACACCTGATGGTTCTTGTATTGTAGTATTTGTGAAAGAAAAATCAACAACATCATCTAGTAATGACGAAAATGGCACAGGTGAAAAAAATGAAGAAGATGATGAAGACTCTCTCTCTCTCTCTGATGAAGATGAAGATGAAGAAGATGATAATTCCCAAAAAGATGTTGACAGTGATAATGAATGCCCAGAAGAGCAAAAACATTCAAAGAATAAAGATTTAACTCCAAATGATGTATTTAAAGCCTATGTTTATTTTTGTTCAAATATGGGAAACACTGCTAATAAGGGTAAATTGAGCTGATTTATTTTTAAATGGATTTTTTTTTTATTAATTATTTGCATTTAATTTTTTTAATTTTTTTTCAATTCAAATAAAAGTTGTTGAACTACCTTCAAATATGGATTCATTAGAATTCTTTCAATTTTCAACTATAAATGATCGTCAAATGCACCTTACAACAATTGATGTAGAAAATAATTTATTTCATTCATTAATTACAAAAATTACCCTTCAAAAAACCCAGTACCAATTTCAACAACGTAATCAAAAAAAACCAATTGGTCAAATTAGATTGCTAAAAATTACCTCTGATAATGATAAAAATAAATTTTCAATCTTAAAAACCAATTTTAATCATAACATAAAGGAGGGAGAGTACATTGTCATTAAAGGACAAAAATTAAGTGTTGTTGATGTAATTTCAGATACCAAATTGAAAGTTGCAGGTGTATATCATACCTTATCACTTGACAATGATGATGCATGGGTGGACTTTCAAACTGTGCCAAAGACAAAACTTAATGGTTTTATTGATGCATATAAATTAATGTTTGAAAAGTATCCAATTGAAAGTTGCATAGATTCTGAGCAAAACAGGCCACTTAATTTGAAAATAGTTCTTGATATAAATGATGATGATGAATATGAAAATTATGATAGAAAGTTTGAAAAATATGTTATTAGTATGTTCAATGAGTTAAAGAAGAAAACAAAAAAACCTGCATCTATTTTAAAGCATTTTAAAACCACCATTACAACATTTTCAGATCTAGACATTGAAGAAAATAATTTTATATCAAAACATTCAATTAAATATCAACTAGGAGAATGGATAATTCAACTTTCATGTTTAATACCCATCCAGATTGCAGTTGCTAAAAATAATCAATTTCAACCACTTTGAGATGGTTTAGCATCAAATGATTATGAGGTAGATTTTGATGTTGAACATGGGCATCGTTTTGGTGGCATTGCAGAAAATATTTCACTTGGATGGTATGAAGGTATATTTAAACATTTTGGTGATCGTCAAGTCAAAGTTGTTTCAAGTATGGGTGAACAATCATGTGGGAAATCATATATGTTGAACCACCTTGTTGGAACAACATTTGATGGTTCTGCAATGAGATGCACTGAAGGAGTGTGGATGTCATTATTTATAACAAAAAAATATATTTATGTTGCACTTGATTTTGAAGGATTAAAGTCTTTGGAAAGAACACCACAAGAAGATTTATTTTTAACTTTGTTTAACACTATGGTTTCTAACATGATACTTTTTAAAAATCAATTTGCTGTTAGTAGAGACATGTCAGGAATGTTTCAAAGATTTCAAGATGGTGCAGCTTTTTTTTAAATCTGACTCAAATGTTTTTCAAGCAAAACTTTGCATCATAATTAAAGATGTTCATGAAAATGATCGAAAAGGAATTGTTGATGAGTTTCGTTTCAAATTTGATGACTTAGTTAGAGATCAAGGAGAAGATAATTTTATTACCAGAATGTATAAAAGTGGATTAACTATTTTACCATGGCCATTATTTAATGATCCTGCTTGGTTCAAAAACTTTGAAAACTGTCAAAAAAACATTGGATATTCAAAAAGCAAAATATGAAAATGCATGAACATTTTTACAAAACACTAAAATTATTATGGCCAAATTAAAAATTTGTGAGTGGGGATCTTTGGATGAAAATCTTGTTCAAATACGTTTATCAACTTTAAAGCGAATACTTCCAGTAGCTATATCTTATGGCTTAGAGCAAAAGGAACAAGAAACTAAGCACTTAATAATTTATGATACAGGAGAAAAAATAGACCACCAACCTCATTTATCTAAATTTGCAGAAATATTCAATACACAAAATGAACTATTTCCAGATTCAGATGTTTTACTCTTTGAAGAAAATGTTGGTTTTGTTGATTTTTCATCTGATTTAAGAACCCAATTTGAAGACATCATTCAAGGAAGGAAAGAATCTGCAAATGATTCAGAATGGTTTAAAAATTTACAATTATTTTTCAAATTTCTTATTGAACGAAGAATATATCGTGTTGAGCAATGGTTTTCTGAAAACATTAGCAATTTTCCACAAGACAATAGTGAGGTAGTTATTGGAAAATATGCTCTTGAAAAAGAGATTGATAAGCTTACACATTTTTGGACATTATGTGGACTTTCTTGTCAGGATTGTGGATTACGCTGCCTTAAAAATCATGGTCATACTGACAATCATGACTGCAAGACTAATCATGAATGCCATTTCTCATGTCAATTTGTAGAGGCACATAGTTCTTTTATTCCAACTTGTAGTTATAAAGCAGGACATGATGGGAAACATGCATGTAATAAAGCCAGTCATTTATGTGGAAAACCCTGTAAACTTATTGATAAATGTAATTGTCAAAAAAAATGTTCTAAAGATATTGGACATGATGGTGGACTTGAAGATGATGAACATATGTGTCAATCAAATCGTCATAATTGTGGAGAGCCATGCTCACTGTTTACATCAACTAAAAAAGGAGATTATGAATGTCCAAACAAATGGGGCATGCTGCAACAAAACCAGACAAAGTGAACATTGGTATTACCAAAGATTTCAGGGATCAAAATTTAGTTATTATCATCACAATTAGTTTTATAATGTCCCATTTGTTAAGTGATATATAGAATTATCTCTATATAAAAATAGTTAATATGAAGTTAATTTACATTAGGTCTACCATTAGAAGTATTTTGAAGAAAGAACAGGGTGAAAAAATTGCTTCTTATATTTTCAAAATAAATGATACTCAGACACTGGAGGCTTATCTAAGAAAAGAAAGGATTACTTATGAAATTTACCAAGAAGAAAGAAAAATAATAAACATTGGAAAAAGAAAGCATCATGATGATGCATTATTACCTAATAAAAAGCAAAAATCCTTAAAAGGAAAATAAATACCATTTTCTTTAATAGTTGGAATGAATTTCAATTTATACAGAAGAAAATAACTGAAAATTACTTTTTTATTTTCAATCAAGACCATCTTTTAGTCTCTTTGACTTCAATTTGAGCAATTTGACCATTCTTTTCCTCTTTTAATTTCCTGTTTTCTTCTTCTAGTTGCTTAATTTTTTCTTCTAAACCCTTTACTTCATCCAATAAATCCTGTTTCTGTTTTTTACTCCACTCTTCAGATTTTTCTTGAAATTTAACTACTTCTCTTTCAATTTCTAAGGCTTCTTCAGTCTCATTTAGTTGTTCTTGTAGGGAGCTTATTTGCCTTTCATAAAAAGTAGACTGACTTATTTCTTCATGAGGTAAGAGAGGAAGTTCCTTCTCTTCTCAATCTTCATTGTTTGTTGATACTTGTGTTTTACAAGTTCAGTTTTGTCGATCCAAAATTTTGTTGAGATGAGCCTTTTTAAAATACAAACTAAACATACATGCTTAATATATATAAATTTACCACATTGGATCAAAATTTTTGACTTAGTAACAAACAAAAATCATATTTCTTCTGGTATTTCAAAATATTTTTGAAAAGTAGTGTTATTCTTTAAATATGATTTTGACTATACATGAAGTCGAAACTATTTCGACCATTTGCAGATCTGGTTGAAATAGGGTCGAAATAAGGTCGAAACTGATTTTTACTATGTAGTTGCCTCAAGTCGAAACATTTCGACTTTGGGTTTTTAATTTCGACTTCATGTATAATTTTGACACCACATAGTATACGTGAAGCAATAACTTTGGAAATTTCCTTCTGAAATATTCAAGGAATTCATTAGTGTTGCAAGTCGACTGGAGGGTCATAAGTCGTGACTAGTCGACTGGATTTTTTTCTAGTCGCAACTCAGTCACGACTAGGTTTCAGTCACGACTAGTTTCAGTCACGACTAGTTTCAGTCATGACTAGATTTCAGTCACGATATTGATACAAACATCAATTAGATGCAATTATGGCTTAATCAAAATGCTAATAATTTTTTCTTCAAAAAAATTTTATTAAATTAATAAATATTAATAATTTATTTTATTTACAATTCTTCTGAAATATTTTTGTAAATTTTCTTTCAAAAAAATGACATTTTTAACTGTTGACGGATTTAACCGATTTCTTTTATTTGTAATTAAATTTCCGTTCTGAAGGAATATATGATGACAGTATTCCTAATTATTTTCTGGATAAATTTGATAACCTTGAAAAAGTTGTTTGTTGCATTTATTAGTATTAAAAATTATTTTTATTGTTACTATAAAATAACTTGTATAGTATGCACACACTTCTATTATAGACCACGAATTACAGTAAAAATATTAATATTGAAATCTAGTCGCGACTGAAATCTAGTCGCAGCTCAGTCGACTAGAAAATTTTCTAGTCATGACTGAATGCAAATCGACTAGTCGAAACTGTGACCAGTCGACTGGTAACACTAGAATTCATCACCTCCAACTACCCTTCTTAAATGGTCTGGGAGTTGGTGATGGTGGTGATTCTAAAAATTTAAAAAATTAAAAATTAAAAAATTAAAATGAAATTTATAAGTTTATAAACACATAAAAATATACAAACCATGTTTCTTATAGCTCTCATTAAGCCTGTGAGCCTATTTCCTTGATATGGCCTTTTTTTCTTTAGGTGCCATATCAAGTCTTGATCCAACCTCCTGCACCAGTCCGCACCAAATACAGCACAACCATCTTTTTCCAATTTTTTAAATAAATCGGATGATGGGTTTCTCTCATCATCAATTTTATCAGACACAGCTGATAAAAATTCAGCACACTTTGATGCTGGCCAAAAGTATGGATGTACCATAACTTTTTTGGAATCTGGCCTATACACATATATTTTGAGGATTGTAGTTTTTTTAATGACAAATTGTTCTTATAATAAATTAATAATTTACCTTTTGGATTGATCAAGGTTAATCATTCCTTTGATCAGATCTTTTTCTTCTTCTTCAATTCCATTTAACCTATGCATTCCATTCATAATATTTTTTTCTCTAGACATATCCACCGATTTGCGCAACCTAATGGGGTACAAAATTTTGAAACAACAAAAATTTAGGGTTCTTGTCGATCGTCACCAAATGTAAAATTACTATTAATAATTAGCGCAAAAATTCACAGTAGGTAAGAGAAAAGAGTAGAAAGGAAAAGAAGAGTCTTAGTGAATATCTTTTTACATTTTGGGAAAAGATCCTATAAATTTTAATTAAGACTATAACCTATTTTATTCTATAATGAACTTTTATTATTATTAAGAAATTAATTCTATATATTATCAGATGTTTTCCCAAACAGGTACTTTAATTATTACAAGTTAATTTTTATTGCTTATATAATAAAAATATAATAATCTTAATGTTATATATAATATGGAAGTATAATAAAAATAATAAATTGATTATCTTTGAATAAATTAATAAATTAATAATACATAGATAAGTCAGTCACGCGATAAGTCAGTTTTGGTCTAACTTGGCCAAAATTTTCCACCCTTTTTTTTACTATTTAAAAAAATTCGATAATTAAATTAAGGATACCGGCTGCAACTTTTGATGATGGTTGCTACCACCTTTGCGTCATATAAAAATGATTGCAACCACTGGTTGCAACCACCTTTACAACCATTTTGTTTCCTTTTTTGGATTGCGACATGGAACACTAAATTAAATCCATGAAAATGATCTGAAATAAAATACATCAATCTATCCTTTGTCTCGAATAAAGATAACAATTTTAAATCCATGAAAATTATCTGAAATAAAATACATCAATCTATCCTTTGTCTCAAATAAAGATAACAATTTTAAATCCATGAAAATTATTAGATCTAATTTGAAATAAAATAAAATACAATCAATTTCTAACCTTTTGTCTCGAATAAAAATAACAATTTTAAATCTATGAAAATTATCTGGAATAAAATACATCAATTTCTATCCTTTGTCTCAAATAAAGATTAGAAGAAAACAAAACACTTCTTTGAAAGATAAATCATTTCTTTTTTTAATTCTTAATTAGTAGATGCAAGGAAATTATAAATAAATAATCATAATGAGTATTTGCTATATAATAAACCAATGCAATAATAAAATTTGCAAAAAAGTATTTTTAAAAAAAATGACTTCTTCATCTTCAAATGCATCAAGCTCTGATTTTGAAACACATAATTATCCTTCGAATAAAAAAATAACATATAAAACCCCCAATAATTCATTCATTTATAATATTATTAATGAAGGTATTTATCCTGATGTTCCAAAATATACTCAGGCCAATTCTAATGGTTGTAAGTACCCTATACCTGATGAGTACTTAGTCGAAACTGAATTCGGAAAAAAGAAGCATATACTCAGATGTTCTACTAAATACCATGACAATAGGCCTGTATATTATTTGAATTGGAATGATAGTGAAAATGAAAATCTCCAAGTAACATCAGAAAAATCAGCAACAGATGCCACTCAAAAATATTTGAAGGTATTTCAATAAAATTCCCATTTATACATGGGATGGTAATTACCTAATTGCCGTAAATACTTAATTCGTAATAACGTAATTAATTACCACTTTCACTCTTTGAAAACGTAATTACGTAATTAATTATGGACGATGAATTTAATTTCGTTGTTACACGTAATTATTTCATAATAGTATTACGTTTTTGCAAAACAATTACCGTCCCATGTATATTCCCATTCCTTTTGTTTATAAATATGTAATTTTAAAAGTGATTTAACATATTATTTATTACAATAGGAAATTGATAAAAAAACTACTAGAATGTCTGGAGTTTTGTTATTCGGGTTTCAGCTTCAATGTGTACATAATCGACGCATTAATAAACAAAAACGCAACACAGTTATTCCCTTTGAAGAAGTAAAAGATTCTACACATAGAAGTCGTTTAAAAGTCTTTGGAAAAAATTATATTAGACGATTTTAATGAATCATCAGATAATATTTTAAATTCCAATTCAAGTGAACTTATTGGAATTACATTAAAAATTAATGATCAATATTATTATCTTTGCTTTAATGAAGATGAAGATGGAAAAAAATTATATGCTGAAGCAGTGGTTCAACAACTTGATCAACATAATATATCACAAAGTGGATATCGTAGTCTAGCAAAACTTGAACCTAATTTACCACGAGAAAATATAACATCAAATGTAAAAAAAGAAATTACAAACCTGATGAATGCTGAAATTCCCATAAATCCAATTAATATTTATTCACAAGATGTTGATGAAGGTGAAAATGAAAATGAAGAGGATGAAATAGAAGAACATGATAATTTAGATGTTGAACTTGAAAATGAAATTATAAATGCTCAAGGTGAAGGCAGATATCGCAGTATAAAGAAAATTTTAACATTTGTAATTAAAATGCTAATTAATCAAAAAGTACTTGGTTATACTTTGGATGATAATGTTCATATTAGAATATCTGGAGATGGAAGAAATGTTGGTAAAAAAATCAAGCATGTCATGATTACATTTGCAATTATGAATAATAAAAATGCTATTTTTCTACCAGATCATCATTATAGCTTAGTACTATATTCTGGTATTGAAAAATATGAATATTTGCAAAAAGCTTTACACCAACTTATAGAAGAGCTTGATGATATTGACAAGAATGGATTTATTGATTCAATTGGGCAAAAATGGAGAATAACTATATACTTTAGCAGTGATTGGAAATTTTTATCAATTTGTTTAGGAATAAACAATGCAACTGCAAATCATTTTTGTCCATGGTGTCTGTGTTCAAAATTTGATCATAGTAAATTAGAGAAAGAATGGAAAATTTCAAAAAAAATGGAAATCATAAAAGTCAATTATCAGGCATATCCAGGACATAAGCTTCAACCCTTGTTCCCTATGATTCCATTAACTCATTGGATTCCAGATGAATTACATTTGATGCTTTGTATTACTGATCGTCTTTGGGTTCTAATGTTACCTGAAACAAATTACCAAAGTTCTGAAGAAACAAGGGAACAAATAAAGAAAGAAATGCTTAGAATTGGTGTACATTTCCAATTTTGGCAAAACCCAGATTCAAAGAATTGGAGTTATACCAGTCTTATGGGTGAAGACAAATTAAAAGTTCTAAAAAATTTTAATTTAGAAAGTATTTTACCGGAGAATAGATCAATTATAATTCATCAATTGTGGAATGGTTTTGATAATCTTTATACAGCCTTACAAGATCCTACAACAGACCCAATTGTTTTTAAAAATCAAGCAAAATCATGGTTGACTAAATTTCTAACACCATCAATAGGAGATCCACGTAGAAGAAACTATGTAAAAGGGTTATACACAAATAATGATGTGACTCCTTATATTCATGTTTTGGTTCACCATATGTATGAGTTTATGACAATTCATAACAATTATGGAGTTAAGGCATTCACATGCAGTCCTGTTGAAAAAAAAAACCATATGCAAATAAGTAAATATTTTAGAAAAACCTTGAAAGATGGTGGAAAGGGGAGAAAAAAGGCTGTAATTGAGATTTTAGAACATGAGAATCGCCTCCTATATTATAATTATAACAATATACCAACAATTAGTAAAAATATTAGAAAAAT